TTTAATCAAATAAATGCAGCCTTGGTGAGCATAAGAGGCTTCTTTTAAAAGCGATATACAATTTACAGCAGGTTCTTTACTTTAGCTATATTAGCATTTTAGAATAAAATGTTTGTAACTTATTTTCTTTTTGTATGGGACACAAAAGGAAAAATTGCAAAAAAAATTGCATTCCTATATTTAAACTGGTGCGATAAAATATGTCATTGACATTAAATGATAAAGCCCCAGTTGTTTTCATAACCAAAGGTATGTACAATTTTGAATATGTACAACTGAGTGCAACTGAGATCACAAATCTTGTGTTAAATTTAAAAACCGCTCTTTTAGATCCATCATGCCAAGTTTGACATCAATGTTGTGCGTCACATGACTGGTTACAGCCTGACAGGTTTGAACAACTAAGGGCAGTATTTTCAGGCAAAATTACTTTTCACACAAAACTTCAGAACACTTGAAAGGCACTGTATGAGTCATATGATCTACTTTTATGTTGTCCTTTTTGAAGCTTGACAGCCCTTGGTGACAATAAGCTTTCATAAAAACGTCTTTTGTGTTCCACGAAACAAAGAAAGAAAGACTTGAAGTGACGTAAAGGCAACTAAATGATTTTCATTTTTGAGTGAACTAACCTTCACTAACCTTAAAGATACTACAAAGTTATTTAAAAAAATGTAGGATATTTTTTTTACTCTTCTGTCTTTGGTCCCACACAGATCAGAAGTGGCCATCCTGTACAACGATCGCTCGGTTCTGGAAAACCACCACGTGAGCGCAGCCTACAGACTCATGCAAGAAGATGAGATGAACATCCTGGTCAACCTCTCGAAGGATGACTGGAGGTACGCTGGGGTTCGTTCCTGCGAGCAATGGAGGATCTGTTCTGGGAAAGTGCGTGTGTTTTGAGTTGTGCTGTGTTGTGTTTTCCACAGGGAGCTGCGTACGCTGGTGATCGAGATGGTCATGAGCACAGATATGTCCTGCCATTTCCAGCAGATCAAGACCATGAGGAATGCGCTGCAGCAGCCGGAGGGGTGAGTGGCGCTCCTGCTGTTTTCTCTGAGCGTGTGTGAACACAAGGCCGTTAATGAATGAGTGTGATGAAGTGCCCGCTGAATGGAAATGTGTCATGCTTCTTGCGTAGAAACCGTTAGGACTGGGTGGTCTGATGAAATAACTGCTTCAAAACTAGAGACTTTTCTTTTCATTCATTTGTTATGAATTATTTTATTTGTTTTATTTTTTGCGTCCATTAAGCTCCGAACAGAATCAGTCGACACGGGTCATTAACCAGGCTCATAAGATTATTAACAAAAACAACTAAAACTCCAAAAAAAGACATTTCAGATCTATGAGGACATTTATTCTCTCTATTTTGTACTTCAGATGCATCCTTCTGTTGGCAGAAATTATTTTTAACAGGACTTTATTTTAAGACTCTTGATGTCTTAAATTTCACTTGACATTTAAAGTTTATTTTTAATAAAAAAGTCTGCTTGTTTAATCTTTACCTAGGCCTTTTTTTGCCAATGCCAAAGACAAATTATTTGCTAAAGTGACTAGATAATAAACCGAAAAGTGAATATACTGTACACTATTATACAAAAGTTTGTAGTCAGACAATTATACTGTATGAGCTGCATACTATAAAAATAGAATTAAAACTACAATATTTAAATAATATTACACTTTAAAATAACATTTTCTTTGTCAATATATTTTAAAATGTAATTAATCCTATGAATTATTCTAATATGCTGATTGGGTGCTCATGAAACATTAAAGTATATATATAATATAACTATAAGTTTGAACTAAACAATTTTGACCATATCTTAGATTTGTGTATATATTGTGCTTGTTATAAAATACATTTGATAGTAGTATTTCTTTTTTATTTATTCCTTTAGTCTTTTTTCCAAACTGACTCAGCAGTGTAAATCTTAAAAAAAAAATTCTATAATAAAAATAAAGTACTGTAGTATTTCTGCCAAAATATAGTTGTTACTACAGTTGCAAATTGCACATTTTAAACAGAGAAACAGAGTGACAGACAGAGGATGATGGTGCCATTTAGATACAATCCTCTCATGTCCTTTGTTTGCGAATGTGTGGGTGTGTAATTTATGGATTCATAATTTGTTTACACGCACTCTAGTGGATTTTTCAGCTAGTGTTTGTGATGAAGTGTTTGTATGTGACTGATGAAGCTCTGATGAATGTGTCTATCAGAATAGACAAGGCTAAAGCGCTGTCCCTGATGCTGCACGCGGCTGATATCAGCCATCCCGCTAAGGGCTGGAAACTGCACTACCGCTGGACACAAGCCCTCATGGAGGAGTTCTTCAGACAGGTACACTCTTCATAATATTTATCTCTCATAACACAAACAGAACTCCCAGAGACACACACTTACTAGATAAAACATTATCTCGGAAAACTGGAGTCCATCAAAGAGCTGTGTTATTATACTACCATTAAGATGCTTTTTAAAAATATATATTTTTTATTCATTTTTATTTTTCTGCTTTCCATTTTCATTTTCATTTTTTAATTAAATAACTAAAGCTTTAATGAATTAATATTTTAGTAATTTTGTTGTGTGTTTTTGACATTTTTGTTAGTTATTGTTTTTAAATATATCTATATAGTTTGGATACATTATTATTTAAGTTTGAATTTTTTTTCAATACTGTCTTTATTGATTTTAGAAACTTTAACATGAAATACAGTAAGAAAAAACACGTTACGCTTTAGTTTAGTTCATCTGAATGAAAGTGAGAAATTAGTAGTAAAATTTATTTTAATTTTAAGTTCAAATTTATTTTTATTTGAAATAACAAAAATGTTTTTATTATTTTTAGTTTTAGTTTAAACCATAATAACCATATCTAAGAGGTTATGCACATGACCAAAGAATTGAATTGCATTGAATTGCTGTGTCTGTGTGTGTGTGTGTGTGTGTGTGTGTGTGTGTGTG